GACATAATTTATCAAAATGTATATCAGTTCAAAATGTTTATCATTTTCTTTCTTTATAAAAGTTTTGAAACAACTGATTTGTTTCACCAGAAATTGTGAATTCACCTTATTTATCTTTATTACAGTATATTAAATATACCAAAATGTCAACATAGCTTGTTAAAAAAAAAAAAAAATCACACTACAGAGGACCTTACAGGTTAAAAATCACTTTCGTGTGTCATTCAGAGAAGGACAACTTTAAAATGAGAAAATTGAGGTTCAAAAAGGTTGACTGACTTGACCAAGGCCACACAGCTAATAAATGGCAGAATCAAAGTTCAATCCAAGCTGCCCATTGAAGAATGTTCTTCTCATTTAGTCGGTGGCCTAAACTTTGATATCTCCAGAGGAACATTCCTGCAGCAAGTGACTCAATCTTTATTTTTGATTAACTTCTCCTGGACTGATTCTACATGCACGCGCGTGCGTGTGTGCGTAGGGGAGTGCTGGGGCTGGGGCTGGTGAGAGAACCAGAATTGCCATCCTGGGCCTTTTTCAGAAAGAAATTGCTGTAGGTTTATAAATGCTGTGTGGCAGACATTTGTTTTACACAATTTAAGGAAAATTTAATGTTGCCCTTTCACGTAGAGTCTTGGGTACATTTTTTTGGGAGGATTATTATGTTTGAGATTCTGTAACTTTGAAAAATTAAGATGAATTTACCTTTTGATGTTCTTCAAATTGATTTGAGGAGTTTTGGGGTTTTTTGACACAGCACCAGCAGAGGGTGTAATTTTTTTTTTCTATCAGTATTTACTCATCAGTACACAGAATTTTCATCCATGTGCTCCAGCAAATAGTCCAGGCTGTTGTCCAGAATTTCAGAATAGAGGCTAGTGGGCAGCTCAACCTGTGATCCTTCTAGGGGTCCCGGGATCCTTTTCACTTTTCTGGGTGCTGCTCTCCTGTCGCTGTGTGCTTTAGTTGACCTTTAAGAGCCCACATCTGGGACTCTTCCTGGAGGATTTCCCGTGCCCTACTGGAGCCACTTTCCCCAACTCTCCAATGCCAGGAGGGCCTGAAATGCCTTCAACCACCAGCGCAGGAGTACGAGAGCCAATGTGAGGTGCAGTCGATACCCCAGAGCTCCCTTAAGACCGGGTTGGGAGTGGCACTTCCCTGCAACCAGCCCCTGCATGGCTCTTTTCTCTTCCCTGTCTCCCCTCCCTTATTGGTCTCACCCAAGGGCACTTCCTAAATAATCCACTCGTGAATCTTCATCTCAGGGTCTGCTTCTGGGGAACCCGTTACCTTCCGCATAAGGTAATGCTGTGAGAACTAAACAGGATGAATGCAGACAGAGCACCTGCAGTGCTGGCCGTAACACACATTCAGAAAGGGTAGCCATCATGACTACAGTTCTCACGTCCGTGTTTTGGACACTGGTGGAGTGGTGCCTGCACATGGAGCATCGGTGAGAAACATCTGAGTACAACCGAAAGAGCAGGTGAAAGTGCATCTCCACACGCCCAAGGCCTCCCCACCCTGGCTATGTATTTGAACGTAAGCAACCAGCCCCACGGCGTTCTTTGCTGGGGGCCGAGTCCACATTATTATTTTTAGATTGGTAAGGCCATTTGTCTAAGAGTTGAAAATTTCAGATGTTTGGCCATTTACCCTGACTACTTATTTTTAAAGAAATCTCTCAGTTCCATAAGGTGAATATGCCTGACAGCTGAGTGGTGGTGACGATGGGTCTAAGCATGCTAGTGGGGTGGTGCTGAGAGAGAGGTCACAGTGGTCAGAACACTCTCCAACTCATGAATTAGGTGGAGGTGCTCTGTGGTTTACCACCTGGGGCAGGAAACTAAAAGAAAGGGAAGTTTTATGTTTGAGACAATTTATCCAGGATTTCTAAGACAGTTTGACCAATCTACAGAATTTGTACTGGCAGGTTACTTTTTCTATAGATTTCATATGTGACATAAAATTAGAAGACGACCTTCAAAGCATGTGCATAAGCTTACTAGGGACGCCCCACCCCCCGCCAGCTTTATTAAGGTATAATTGACAAAAATTGTATATATTTGTGATGTACAACGTGATGTTTTGATATCTGCGTACATTGTGAAATGATTAAATCAAGCTAGGGAATTTTTTTCAAAATAGAAAACCAGGAATCTTAGTATTCAAGGAGCTCTTGAGAAGTCTTCTTTCCCTCTCGCCTTTCATGAAGGTCCGATGACACAAAATGCCAAGGCCAGATGGGATTGCATAACTCATTCGAGTAGCTAACAGCTTTGGCCATCAAAAAAGCCTTGTTAAGCCTCTCAGGTGGCAGGACACTAAACCTAGTTTTGCCTCTGGCTGGCCAGAGGGACAGCCTGTTTCTGTGCTGGCTCAGAGCCTTCCATATTCATTGTGACTCTTGAATTCTCTCAAGTCATATCGTCTCAGTGCTGGGGGTCGGGGAGGATTTTCACCATTGAGTCCAATATCCCCACACCTGTCACCTCAGGAAGCTAGAGCGGGACCTGGAATGTATTTTTAGATCTTGACTTAGGGTGTGTACAAGGAGGCTCACTGTGGAGCTGGGAGTGGGAGGTGACTAGTGGTTCTGTCACCAGTGGGGTGGGTGAGGGAAAAAGCGGTGGTTGCATTCTCTGAAATACCAGGCAGCCACAGATGCACATATGGTAACATGGCTGGGCTTCCAAAACGGTGGAGTCAGAAAAGCAGATTTGTTAGGTAACCCCATTTGTGCAATGATTACGCACATGAAGCAACACTGTATATAAGGAGACCCACATGTTTAAAAACATACGTTGAACATGAGATGGGAGTGGACATTATGGAAGACGACGACAAAAAAGAGAGGGCTGTGCATTGACTGAGGATGACGACATGCCAAGCACCAGGGAGCATGGCTAACTAGATTTTTTGCATCCAGCCTTCAAGAAAAATAAGAAAAACACGATCGGGAGCAATAGAAAAGAAAGTGCTCCAGGTGAATCAGAGGCTCAGCTAGGCTTGGCCTCTGGTGGCCTATCCTTACTTAACAGAGGCAATGGAGGCCCAGTGAGGGGCAATGTCCTTCTAGAAAGTGCCACCGTCCCCTCCATCCTCCTGCCACCGCCTTTCCCTCCAGACTTTTTTCTTTGACCTTCCCACAGCTTTTATTTTCTAATTCTCTAATGACTATCACGAAGCACTCAGCAGCAAGGCTGGCACTTGTTTGAAGACATGGGCAGGAAAAGGCCACGTTGCACAATTCTGTAGCATGCACAGTTGTCTTCTCCCCTGGATTTCTTGCCTTGGCTTTCAATATGCTAAGTACACAGGTTTACCTTCATCTCTGTTCAGCACCCATTGACTGAGTACTTACTATGGACAAGGTATTGTGCCTAGTCCTTTACATAAATCATCTCTTTAACTGGCACTGGAAACTCAGTGAAACCTGTACCCATTTTCTAGATGACTAAAGCTTAGAAAGGTTGTGTTCTCTTTTCACATGACAGTTAAAATTACCATTCTATGGGTATATCACCCCAACTGGGACTACCATGAATCATGAAATCAAAAGGATATTTCTTTTATCAGATTGTGAGAGAATTAAAAAAATGTCCAGACTTCCGTGTCCTCTACTGTTGTTTATTGCACTTCCGTGTCTATGGATAGGCAGCTGCATGACTGGTTTCGACCTGAGTTATCTGTTCATAAATTATTTCCCTATTTTGCAGACTACTGTCTGAATATCTAACTGATGAGCACCTGCATACTAACCCAGTAAAAAAAACCACACATCTAAGTGGCTTAAGTAAAAATATCCCATTTACATACACATACAACACAAACACATTCTCCCTGGCTAACTTTTACCTCTACAACTTTTATGCAATAGTCACATTCTTCTAGAAAAGAGAAATAATTGCTAGTTGACCACTATATATATATATATATATATACACACATATATTTACGTTCAAGAAATACCCAACTCAAGAAAAAGGCTGGAGAATCTTCAGCTTGCAGGTAAGCATTCATTTCAAAAATGCTGCACTCACAAGATAGCTTCAAACTCAGGATTCATTTTGTTCTTTCTTCTGACTAGTAGAACTTATTCTACTGAGCCAATGTCATAGCAGTGAAAACTGAATTTGACGACTGATGTACCACACAATGGAAGCAAGTGTAAAATAAATGCTTAGAAACATTGGATTTTTGCTTTTGAGTGTCCATAATGAAAATATTTGAGTTCCCTGTAGACCAGTAGGATTTGTGGTTCCCAAAATGCCAAAATAGGGGTGTTGAAATTCCTGATGATTTGCCAAGCAATTACCCTAGGAATAACTCAGACCACAACTTTCTAAAGGTAAAACTCCCCTGGTATGCTTCATGTAAAAGGTGCCATGATTGGGACCACCCACCTTCAAAAACATGGGAATGTGTTGGAAATCTCATTGTTTTCTTTTTATAGCTATTTCTTATAGTGGTCAACTCCTTCCCTTGGAGTTACAGGGAACTTGCCACTCACAAAAGTTCCCCTGTGAGATCTCACTCGAGACCCTTCTCTCTGAGCTTGGGTAAACATTACTCTACCTAGAAGTCCAGAAATTGTTTTCAGATTTTCCTAAGTGCTTTCTCGGATTTGCTTCTGAAGAACATGAGCCTGCCAATTCAGACCATTCACTTAATTGCTGGCAGAGTTTTCCAAATCCAGATTATGATAAATCCATTAGGATAGAGATGTTATTTCTTCTCCCCTCCCCTCCAAGTCTGTACCGTCTCTAGTGACATAACTGTATTAGCCAAGAAAAGAGCAAGATACCTTACTTACATCACGGCATTGGAATCTCTGCTGACCACACTAAAAGCAAAGATGACAATCATTCAAACTGCTTTGTCACTGGAGCACACACAAGCCCCCATGACCCAGCACCTTTCAAGTTCTGATAGTTTTCAAAAAGCTATTAAACTGCACACATGATATAGCAGTCCTTAAAATAAAACTGGAGGCATTTTGTAGCTAAACAATTTTATTGGCTTTTTGTGAAATAAAAAACACAAACCACAATGGTTAAAGGCCATAATCAGCATCAACCAAATGAACCAGCCACTTGGTTACAGTAGCTGATAACACTAGTGGATATTATTGCTTATATCCCAAGTTCATTTATATGTCCATTACATTTTGGCAAGATTACAATCAAATGGGAGCTTTGGTTGTATAAATTCAACTCCGACTACTCATTGAAAACTCAACCTCTACCATTTTATGATGGGATACATGCCAATTCTTCCTGAGTCTTGACATTTATCCTCTCATTCTATCTCCTTCCTCCTTCCATTAATGATTTACAACCCTACAGAAAAAAAATTAAGGTAGACGTATTTATAACCATCCCTACTCTATTGCCCCTTCATTCGTCACGAGAGGGTGATGCATTTCGGGGACTCTCCAAGTTCTTGTATCTCATGTCTTTACACTGCCAGTAATAAACGCCCATCTGTAATCTAGAGATGCTTTCGAATGCATAAAAGGCTGTCAGTATTGGGGTTTGAACTCACCTGTCTTTCCCATCTTCTGAAAAGCTAGAAAAAAATAAAAACAAAACCAACAGCCCTTAGCATCCCAACAGAATGAGTCCCAATCCCTGCCACACGACATCTCATGGCAGGTATGGAGCTGTGGCCTTAAGATGCTGTGTGTGTGTGTGTGTGTGTGTGTGTGTGTGTGTGTGTGTGTGCACGCACTGTAACATTTTCATTACAGACAAGCAATGACTGACTGCCTCTCAACAGCTCCCCTGCTCTACACTTTCTACTTTAACACTGAAAACTCAGAATGACGAAAGTCAGAACTAACTCACAATAGCACCATTTCCTGCACTTTTGGAATTTAGATTCCTTTCTGTGTTGGAGAATGCAGGGACCCAGCCTCCAGCTTTGTGCTTTCACAGGCCCTGCTGAATTTCAGCAGGCGTGGGTGGTCTGCCGTAGCCTACTTCTGCAGCGACATGAATTTTCCCTGGGAAGAGTTAAAAATACGTGTCTTACAAAGTGAAGTTGGCCACAGGTGAGAGACCTGAGGAAGCCTGTTTCTGGTGGTGAGATGTTACAAGCCTGCAGATGGCGGGACAGAGTCTGGGGACCTTTTTCCTTGCCATCTCAGTTCAAGTCAATGGAGAATCTGCATGCAGAAGCATGGCAAGATCAAGGAATACTGAGCAATCCAAACACCAATGCTCTAATGGTATCTTATATATTCAGGTCCACCAGTGAGTTTGCCCTGGATAATGCTGGGATTTAATAAGCCCTTCTAATGATTATAAAGATTATCCTCTTGAGTCTAGACATTTGAAACAACAGAATATTTGATATCACTATATTTTACATGGCACATATAATTACTAGCACTTACACGGCAAATATTGTAAATACACATTCTTCGAGTTGCCTTGGTAATTATACCGATGTTATTCAGCAGAACAAAGATTAAACACTCTCCAAGTTGCACTTTGGGAGATTTCAGTCCAATCCCTTACTTCACAACAAAAGGATAACCCTGTAATTACATAATAAAGCCCAGTGGTCAGGTGGGTGAAGAGAATCACAGGGCGACTTCAGGGTCAGTTTATGGCCTGTAAAATAAAGTAATACATAGTATTTTTCATTTCAACAAAATACAAGAGACCATATAAAAATATTTTCCAATTTGGAATCTGAAACATGAAAGCTGGATTTTTTTTTCTTTGTATAAAAAGAAACAAAATAACGGACTAAAGTTTATTAAGCCTCCTAACAAAAACTACACTATCAGTGGAAGGAAGGCAGCGAGACTGGCTTCCCTTTGTGTCGGGCTCGCTGCCGGTGAGCTTGTGCTTCGATCCTAGCAAAGAGAAATGCACAGAAGTGGAGGAAGGTCAGTGCCTGGAACCTGAACTACACCGTATCTCTAAGAAGAGGACTAATTTTACAGTAGTGCTGTGAAAAGTGGTGTATCAGATTACTGATTTCTTTTTCTCTCCCTCCTCAGGCGACCGCGGGAGATGAATTCCAGAAGCACCACTTCCGTCGTGAGTGATGTTTATTTAGTGCCATGTCTTCCTTCTCTCGCTCCCTTTTCACACGCTGGTAGTGGTCTTCCTCCTTCAGGTACCACACGGGGGGCCAGCGGTGCCGCTCAAAGTATTCCTGGTTGTCTGGTGAAGGGAAAATGCTGATGGTAAGACCTGCTGTTCATTAACTATTCCTGTGTGCTTGTGCTTGCCATATATCCTCTCAACAGCCTGATGCAGCAGGGACTCTGATTAGGAACATGTGCAGGCTAACTTTGCAACACTAAAGTTTTGAGAGGTAGAATCTCTTCCCTAAAGTCGTGTAGCTGGGCACTGAGAACCTGGACCCAGGGCTGCTTGATCGCAGAGTGTAAGCTAGCTCCTAAGGGCACCTCCCTTGGAAAGGGGAAGCCAGCACTTGCAGCATGCTCTGCAGCAGGGCACCCTGAGCCCTAGCCCACCCACATCCCTCAAGCATGAAGCTCTCCAACAAGAATTCCCAGCCTGCATTCCATGTCATGTCACATGAATATCTGACCGCCATGAGGTGACCCTGCTCCTTCCCAGGGAAACGGAAGGGAAGCGCTTTGGTCAGAGGTGAGGAGAGCTGCATGGACGGGGAACAGCACAGTCTCACCTGCAGACTTGGATTTGATTTCCTTGCGGAACTTGGAACACACGCTGTTGTAGTTGGTGCAGATGTGGTGCAGACACCAGGCGGCCAGCTGGTGGGCATTGTGAAACTGCAGAAAAGTGACCAAAAGGGGGTCAGACTCGAGTTTCTTTTTTTTTCCTTTTTGTCTTTTTTTACTGACCGGCAACGGGATCGCAACCCTCGGTGTTGCGTCCGCACCGCACTCAGCCAGTGAGCGGGAACCGGTCTCCACATGGGATCCGAACCCTCGGCGGGAGCGCCACCACAGACTCTCTAGTGTGCCACCGGGCCGGCCCCAGACTCGAGTTTCTAAAGTGGGGCCACAAAGAAACTGGAAGCCATTGTAAGGGTGAAAAGAAATAAAGGGCCCATATAACCAATTCAGTTCACCTCTTGTTTTGACCTAAGTGCTTTGACTTTGGCCACGGCTCAGATACCCACCAAGTATAATGGGGGGGCACACCCATTTCTTACCCTCCCATCATAGGTGCACCAAAAGTAATCACTGTACCAGATCAGGAGTTTAAAATATGCCTTGCCCTCTGCCCCACTTGGCCCTAAGTGATAAGCAACCGCAGCCTCTGGAAGACACCAGCCAGGAGCAGAAAGCTGCAATGTCATCTCTGTTTAAGGAAGCCTTGGCAATGGAATAATATTCCATGTCGCATGTCAGAGCTCAGCTTGCTGGGGCCAAAGATCTGAAAGAGGAGACTGCGGAATGTGTGATTGTCCTTACACCTGTCCTTTGGTTATGTAAGAAGAGCAGGTGCTTGGTATGGGCAGGGGAGGGGGGATCCAAATGCCACCCTTCTTTCTGAGCAGGTGCTCAGAAAAGGGAGGTCACAGCTGAGGTAGTTGTAACAGGAAAAGAAATGATGCTCAAAAATCGACAGTCAACTCCCCATCCCCTCCCCAGACCTGGCAGGACTGCCCCCACCCCTTACTCTTTCTGTCCCTGTCCTTAGACATCTGTTCTGTTGTCTGTTGCTACTGGTGTTTCTTTGGTCAGGTGAAAGCCTGGAACCTTCAGCATGGTTCCCCTGTGGCCTGTATCCACTGCAAAGGCCAACAGAAAAGCCAAAATCCTCAGAAACCCACTCAAGAGACTCTCTGCAAATCACAACCCCTCACATCAGAGACAGTTTTAGCTGTGCTTCCAACTTCTCTTGACGTTAGGTTTCTCTCTGAACTTAAGATTGGAGCAGTGGTGTGCCGGGTTGGCTTGTACCACCAAAGAGAGCCAGTGTGTGCATTTCTTCCCTACTCTGACATCAGTGACTTCATGTTGTTATAATCGGCCACAGTGGGAGTACTTACACCATGGAAACTGGAAAATGCAACAGATCAGGGTCCCACTGCCCCCAAGCTGACTGTGAAATCACCAGCACAACACTGGGTTAGGGTCTGATGAACGAGCTTAGACGTGGGACAGCCCATGTTAAACTCTTGCTACCGCAGCTTGTCAGGGCTTGGCAGTAATTGTATTATTTCCTTGCAGGGTGTGTGTGTAGGGGGGAGAGGGGTGGGTGAGAGAGGGGGGAACACAGAGCAAACAAACAGACACAACTGCAAATCATTACCTCAAGTGAACTGGCCCTGCATGAAATTCTGGGTCATTTCAGTTTTCTCTAGGAGGAACACTCATAGAGAGAGCTCAAGTCATAAACTGTCCCCCAGGCCTGTTTCAAAAGACGCCAGATTCCAAGTGTGGACCGCCAGTTTTGATGGGGACTTGCAGATTCTACTGCAGTAGAGTCTGTTCTCAGTTTTTTACTGTACCCGCTATTAGACTGTTTTCCTCACTGGATTTTCATAATTTGTATTTGTGTCCGTTTCTTTCTCTCCCTTGCCTCCGACTGCCCCGAGAGCAGAGAATCTAATCTCCTGCTTGTATGTACACGTCCTCTGCCTAGGGTGGTGCCCGTACTTGGGGAGAAAATAACACACATCTGTTACACGTGAAGTGGGAATGAACAGGCTGCTGGGAAGGCCAGTCCACCTCCCTCCTTTCTGAGCCTGCGCCATCTCCTCTGGCCACAGTTGGCATGGTCTGGGCAACACCTGCTGTCTGCCACCTCCTCTCCCTTGATTAGGAAATACTGATTTAAACGGCCTGGCCTAGGACTTAGTAAGCCATGGCCCTAATTGACACAGGGAACAAAGAGAGCCAAACCCAACAGGCTGAAGAAAAGACTGAGGAGTTTCCTCTCAGTTCTCTCCGAGTGGTAACTCCTCATGAATCAGTCTGTGCCAGGGCTGGACATTCTACGTGTGTGCCTTGCGTCGTGAGAGGGCTTCTGCTCTCCAGGGCTCGCTCCTGAACGCCCTCTACTACGTGATTCTCACAATAATGTGTAAGGCTGGTAGGGTGTGAATTACCATCCCCATTTCTTTGAATGAAGAAACTGAGGCAGAGTTCGGCTTTGTGCCTTGAGGAGGTTCGTCAGTTATAAAACTGAAACCGAATCTTGGTCCTTCTCTGGGAGAAGACTGCAAGAGTGTATTGGGATTATGGAATTACCATATCAATATGAAAAAATACTAATTTTAGAAAACTCCAGGGGAGCTGCAGTGAGATATTTGTTAACAGGGGCCATTATAGGCTTCATGGAATTCTAGAAACTGTCTACTCTTGGCCAAATACGTGTCCAAGAATTCAAAGGAGAGAGACCTGCCCCACCCCTCATCATGTCCCAAGTGGTTCTTCCATGTGCGAAGTCGGTGCCTTAGGGGACAGTGGGACTGGTGTGGGCATGGGGTCCTTGGTTTTTCAAACGATGCCCAGCAAGCTGAATGGTGCATGAAATGTAAAACTCTCAGATCTCAGTGTACACGGGGGGCCTCTGTGACTCAGTGGTGACATCTTTATTTAGACAGATGCAACAGTGGAATGTTTCATCAGCATTAAATGAACTGGTTGAACACACTGAAAAGGTGAAAAGCAAACTGTTACAAACCTGGGCCAATTCCAGATAGGACAGCACTTCCCCATCGATGCCCACACCACTCACAGCGGCCTTGGTCAGCTCCTGCACAGCGTGCTGCTCTGAGGAAAGAGAGGGGCAGGAGGACGTGAAACCATGCCCTGCACGCCAGACATCTTGCCTGGCAGGGTGCTCTGGGACTACGTAAGAAAGGAGGAAATATAGGACACAGCTCTGGACAGCCATCTGAACTGGACACAGGGTCCATTCTGATGTGTGCCTTTCAGTACGCAGAGTTCTGGTCTCCAGCCATCGTACTGACATCTCTGGGGACTCTTGCTCGGGCTTCTGAGATAGCCAGACATACTAGCACTGTCCTGTCCAGGATGGTAACCACTGGCCACAGGAGACTATTTTAACTTAAATTAATTAAAATTAAATGAAATTAAAAGTTCAGTTCCTCAGTCACACTAGCCACATGAAGTACTCAACAGCCACATATGGCCACTGTATTGGACAATGATTTGTCCAAATGTATAAAAGGTTTTCCTCATTGCAGTAAGTTCTACTGGACAGTGTAGCTCTAGACAGTCTAGCACCTCCCTAGAATCCTCTAGACACATTCCTGTTTGACAGTTTCCCCACTCATATCGGTCCAATTCTCAATAACCCCTGACAGTGGAGAGACTGCATGACAGAGGAATAAGTCTGTGGGGGACATTAAAAAGGCGAATGCACATGTCTGTCTCAATAGCTACGAATGGATGACATATTGTGCAACCTCTTTGATTACAAAGTCTGGGGAGACCTTCAGCCAAAAGTAACAAAAACCCAGTTGGGAGAGGCGTTTCTGCTTGGGAGCTGTGTGCAAGGCTTCTAAATTGAATTTAAATTGTGGTTCTGGTACTGAGCTAACCATCTCTTTCCTCTGTCTGGGCTGTCACCTGCTTCTGGGATTGACATATGTGGGTATGCCTTGGCCCAGCATTTCTAGCTCTTTGATGCCTATGTCCTCTCTAGGGTTGCGTATGTTCTCCTAATGCAGGAGAGTGTCCAAATCAAGCCTACCCTCTGCTCCGGCTCTGCATACTTGTTAGTTGGTATGTCTATGTCTGGACAATAAGGCATCTGGAATTGAATGGTATCTCTGGCACCACCTTCCTCAGTCAGATTGACAGACACAGAACTATTTGGAACTAAATTTCCTGGAGAAGTCATCCAGGCTCTTTAAGTTTAGATAACTGCAACATTTCTTAATATCCATTTAACACTGGCTCATAAAGCATTTTCACGCCAGAAACTCACTTTTAAACACCAAGTTCTAAATACTGTATACTAGACAGTATCCACCAGATACTATAAATGATTAAAGGAACCATCTTATGTACATTTAATAATCATAACATCAATAACAACATTTAATAAAACTAAACGTATGCGGAAGTCTGGATGTCACACAAGAAGCTTTCTTTGGGTCAGTTAAAAAAAGAAAAACTTTTATGGATAAATAAATCCTATGTTTTCATTGCCAGACTTAATATTTAAGCAAAAATGGCCTTTCTCTGAGACTGATCACATACCCTGTTTGACAGATTAGGCTCCAAATTACTTTTGCCCATTTCAAAAAGATTGAATTTATCCTCAAGGGACAAATACTTGTAAAACCTGTGGATAGTTTAGTTAAATGGATTGGAACTCATATTTCTGGAGGCCAAAAAAAAAGGGCTTGCCCACTGAAGCTGCCTAGAGTTAGTATTTAAAAAGTAGTACATTCATTTGGATCTGTAACTTCAGGTATATTGGGTTAAAAACAGTTTTAAAAAAAAATCTGATAGTGATGTATCAACTCTTTCTATCCAATGGGGGAAGAAATCGGGGGAAGAGAATACGTTGATCTCTGGCAAGTTGTGTGTAGCAGCAACCTGGAGCATGAAAAATCTTTTTTCCAAACACAATGCCAAAAAGTTGAGGGCAGATAGGACTGGTTGGTTTGTTCATATGTTCATCTTCATTCACTGGATTATTCAACACATATTTATTGAGAACTTAATATGCTCAGACACTTTTTTACATGCAGGGGACTGGCCCACGAACAAGACAGGCACCGTCTCTGCTTTCCTGGTCAACAGGAATCAACTAAATATAGTGATAAACACCCAGATTGTGAATTGACACCTCTGGTGAATAAAGCTGAAGGTTTAAATTCAAGAAAAAGATATTTAAATGCACATTTCCTATGTAGACCTGCTTCAGCTTACCAAGAAATGATACATAAGATTTTCTGAAGTTAAGCCAAGTCTCCCTTCTTCTCTGTCTCCCAAAATGAACCTGACAATGTCAGAACATTTTCTAAAATAGCTTTAAGAAAACCACTTATATAATGCTTACTATGTGCCAGACACTGTTCTAAGGACTTTATATATTTTAACTCATTTAATCTTCATAACAACTCTATGGTAGAATATCTCCATTTTAAAGAGAGAGAATGCTTAGACACACAGCTACAGTCAAATAAAGGGCAAAGTCACCCAGCCAGTAAATGGCAGAGCCAGGAATTGAACCTGGCAGTCTGGCTCTGTGGTCTTTGTTCTTAACCTCTGCATCTACTGCCTTTTTCTTAAAGACAGTATCTGTGTACACATTAGGGGGATAATGCAGACAGAATAGTTTAATTTCAAATTCCATAGCCCACAAATGATTCAGCTAGCATAGAGCATGTGCGTCAAGGGTAGAGGTCATACCTTACCAATCTTTACATTTGCCTCACCTAACGGGACCTGCTGCAAAGTAGGTGCTAAGAAATATTTGTGGAATAGAATTGGGCTGTCTGATACATTTGATCAATTCATATCACCCTGCATGAGACAGTCCTATTTTGGGTGATAAAAAAATATTTTTATTCCCTGGAAATATTATTTTTGTTTAAATGTGATTTTGATAAATATAACAGTCAGACACTGCATGGCCTTGAGTCATCAGCCTTACCTGCAAGTGCAACCAAGTGTGGCAGGCAAAATCTGTTTGCCAAGGCAATTAATTCCAGTGGGTCCAGGTCCAAGTTAGGTGACAACTGCTTGTTATAGAGATAATCCAATACCGCTTGCATTGACATCTTGTTTATGTTCGGGAGACATACCTGAAATATTATATGAAAAGCTAAATTCTGCTGAAGAAAGCAGGGAGTGAGCACATTTTCAGGCTGTGCTGCTTATAGATATCCCAACTGTGTGACTTGATATTGGCGAGTCTCGGACACCTGCTTTGAGATTGTGCATAGAAGTCATTCAGTATTTATGGCTTTAAACGTAACAGTTTTGATCTGTAGATGACAAACGAGTGGAGTTGCCTGACAAAGCCTGATTTGGAATTTTTAAATGGCTATTTGGACTTATAAATCAGACAAATGGGCTGTAAATGTATGATGACATTAGGGGCCCTATTTGCCAAGCACCGTATAATACTCTATTGTGGAAAAAGAAATCTCCTAGCAACGTGACAAGTGTTGGAGGGAGGGGAGTGGAGCTGCAGACACACTGTTGTGGACATGTGGCAGAGCCCAGCTCTCTAAGATGTCAAAATAGAGGATGAGCAACCACCCTCGCTGCCACAGTGACTGGCTTGATTTCGACATTCTGTCAGTATATGCTAGCACGATATATACGCTTTATTGTGTTTTTCCTACAACCACATGGATTCGGAACCACTGAAATGTTATCAGGTACTGGTAGAAGCAGAGAATCCAAAGGAGTCCTTGCCTGGGACACGTGGGGGAGTAGTTGGTTGGGTATGGTGAACTGTCCCCTGTAGGACTCGCCCTCTCCTTCCTGAGTACCTGTAGTTGTTGTGTGTACACATGCATGCTAGAGTTTACTGGAGAGTCAGGGCCTGCCTGGGAGGCAGAGTTCCAGACAAATGGGCATGGATCAATGGGGATGTATGCTGTATAGCAGCTACTCTTTATTTTCAGTCTTTAACCCATGAGACAGGCCCCAGAGTAGTACAGAATGGCTAGATTGTGTTTACTATGGTAATATTGATGATTATAATAACTAACCTTAATTGAAGACCTTCTATTCACCAGGCATTGTGCTAAGCTTTCCACAGCACTATCTAGTTTGATCCTTATATCTGCCCTAGGAGGAAGAGACTATTATTTTTGCCATTTTAGAGACAAGGAAATTGAGGTTCAGGGAGTTAAGTCTTGTGTCCAAGGTCACAGAGATAGTTAGTAGAGATTGGGATTTAAACCCAGGTAGTATAATTCTAAAGTCTATGTTCAGAATTGCTGTGCACTACTGGAAACCCTTAATGGCAAGGAAGCAAAGGTTTGGGTTACAGAACAATAAGGCACCATATTTCAGTAACGGGTTTTTTTTTTTGTCTTTTGTCTTTTGTCTTTTTCCGTGTCCGGCAACGATCGCAACCCTCAGTGTCGCCCCCGTACTGGACCGGGGACCGGCAACGGGATCGCAACCCTCGGTGTTGCTCCCGCGCCTCGCTCAGCCAGTGAGCGGGAACTGGTCTGTATGTGGGATCCGAACCCTCGGGCGGGAGCGCCGCCGTGCTTCCCAAGTGGCGCACTTATCCAGTGCGCCACCGGGCCGGCCCTTCACTAACGGTTTTTAAGAACTAGATTTCTCATTCAAAAGGATGAACAGTTATGAACTTCTTGGTTCATGTACTTAATAAATCTCTATATAAATATAAATGCATATAAAGATGCATATAAAGATACATATCTATATATTATATATGATTACATATACATACATGATTATATCTATATATCATATGAGGGTTCTTCAAAAAGTTCATGGAAAATGCATATTATGAAATTGTTTAAGAATTGTTTAAGCTATAGAAACCTTCTATGTTATTCTCCTGTGCAGCCAACAGACACCTCAGAGAAGAAACAACATCCTTTCAGATAGGCAGAGCTGTCCCTTAATGTATCATAGGGAAGGCCCAGAAAAACTTCTAGAAAATATTAAGAAACTTACCCTCCCCCGCTTTTAGACCTCGTCAGTGAAAACAACAATTATGATTCCATAAATAAGCTGCATAGATCATTAACATAAATGATGTGATAAGCGTGATCATTTCAAGTTTCTAGAGTTACCTCTACAATAGATAGAACTCGATGAGTAGAAACTATTAACAATATTATTATTTTAAAATAAAGAAGCCATTGTACATGCTGGGTCATCTGCAGCATACAGATGTTGGACTGGTATTCCTCCCTTCAACCAGCTGTATCTACATACAAATAACTGCTATTCAAGTGAGTCTGACACCAGTTATACTTGTGTGTATGCTTATATACATAGACATTTATATACACATGCATTTGTCTTAGATAATGAATTTATTTATAGATACACACACAAACTTGTTTCTGTGTGTATGAACACATGATGACATTTCATTTCTCTAGAATAATGTTTGGATTAGTACAATTTTCTAGATAACTGAAGGTTAATTAAGTTGCAAAACTTTAAAATTTGAACCATTTTGATAGTGAAAGTATCCACATTTTACAAAGTGCTAAGTGCTATAAGATGTTAGTAATTGTTAATATAAGAAATCCCAGAGCTTCCTACAAACACCTACTCGCTCAGAGATGGGGATATCTGCTGCTTCTGAAAACAATGCCTTTGGGGACAGAGCAAAAGTCTGGGGCAACCCCAGGGATATGTCACTAAAATGCTGTGTGACCTTTGATAAATCACTCAACCTCTCCTACCCTTAATTTCCTCATATTTTTATGGGAGGAATTTGGAATGGATGCTATCTAAAATTTTTTCTTTTTCACTGTGGCTCTGGGCTTTGAAAATATTCAGATTAATGTTAGCAGTTTTTGGTAAAGAATGTATTCTAAATCATTGCTTAAAGAAAAAAAGTCCTGTTAGAAATACAAATGGCAAAATGGACATCCTAAATATAAAAAAGTTATTTCTGGCAGAAGGAGATACCAGATTCCAGTGAGCGCCCTGACCCAAAATTCCCAGTGTCCCCAGAGTGTTCTGACATTTGTAATCACCCATGACCTGCTGTTTCCTTTTTGCTTAATATGATATTAATCATTTTCAAAATGAATTTTTTGGGGGGCAAATAATGTTAGAGACCCCTAGAAGTAACCATCAAATGATAATAAACTGAAAATACTTTCAGAACATGTATTTTTTTTCCTATGGCTAATTTTTTTTGAAAGCCTTTTTCTGTGATTTCGACATTTATGATTAACAGTTTAACAACAGACAGACCTTTTTGTAGCACTTTAAAAAATAATACAAATAAAGCTACACAAGAAATGGAATAAAAAATTTTGCATCCTACCTGCTAGATGTAGCTTAAAAAAAAAAAAGTAATGAAAGAGAATATAATGCCACCCTAAACAATGTCCATATTTAGTTCAGTTGGTTTAAAATTTTAATTGGGAAGATTAGCTCAGACTATTAGGCTTATAATTAGAGATGGTCTCATAGAGAATGAAAAAGTATTCTAGATCCAGAGCATTGCTTACTACAACCCAGGCATGCATTTATAATGAACCACTTGCTGAGTGCCTCTGGGGAGAGAATTATGCTTACTGCTACATTTAAAGTAATGAGGAAAAATATAAGTAAAATACAGTGTCTTCTTGAATATTAAATGACAAAAAAGTTAAAGTAATTTTAATAAGCATATTTTATTCTTTTCCAGATATGGATGTGAATTCTATTAATGCCAAAAAAAAAAAAAAAAAAAAAAAAATCGGCTGATTTTCGTAGGGGAAGTTAGAATTTCAGATTTTCACAAGACAATAAAAGGTGGCCTAGAAAGGCCAAATCCCACATGTGAATACACATCTAAGTCAATCATAGAGCATTTATGGAGTGTTCACCTGAGTGCTCTTCCCTACTCCTATAACCACCTGTATCATACTTTCCTAGTTTAGAAAGGGAACTGGGGGCTTTTTAACTTAGAGCTGTCAGGGGACAAGAACTTTTTACCCATCTGTCATGGAAAGAATTCAATAAGAATACTCCAGGATAATAGTCACTAACATTTGTTGAGTACACGTATGTTCTAGGCACCAAATTCTCATGCCTTATCTGCCCTTTGAAGAAAGTTCTTTTGTTATCCCCATTTTATAGATGAGGAAACAGGTTTAGAGAGGGTTGGTTGCTTGCCCAAGGTCAAGCTGAGACTACAGTTCATAACTCTTACATTACAGTCTACACTGGAAATAAAGAGAAGGGGCAGGCAAGGGTGGAAATATCAACAGTTCGTGGCATTCTTTTTTTCCTTTTTGTCTTTTTTACTGACCGGTAACGGGATTGCAACCCTCGGTGTCGTGCCCGTACCGGGGACCGGCAACGGGATCGCAACCCTCGGTGTTGCACCCGCGCCGCGCTCAGCCAGTGAGCGGGAACCAGTCTCCACATGGGATCCGAACCCTCGGTGGGAGCGCCGCCATGCTCCCAAGCGGCACACTCTCCAGTGTGCCACCGGGCCGGCCCCGTGGCATTCTTAATATATTGGCTAAAAGAATTTTGACACAGACCTTTGGTTGCTTGGTTCTATAGTCTCTGTCTTTTGAGCTGGGCTGAATCTATACGTGCCTGTTAGTCTCAGCTACAGTTCTACGTGGTGAGTGATCTAGTCTTTCCAGGCGGCTGAAACAGGTGACCGCCTCCAGGAGAGACTATTAAACAACCATATATACATGTGCGTTCCCATTCACTGCCAAGTTTTTGTTTTGGTCACCTCGACTGCACATTTTAATCTGGAGACGATTACGCTCCATTCTGGGAAGGGATCAAGGGGATTAGCATTCGGGAGGTCAGCTCTGACAGTGTCCCTTTCTGCCTGGATTCCTGACCTTGATCAACTTCTCCCTGCTCAGTTATAGCAGGCCCTCTGCTGCACGATCAGCGGGCATTTAAGTGAGCTGGAAAAGTAAGGGGAGCAAGCCTCCGAGCTCTTTACCTCTGGAGATTACTGAAGTGGGTAACATGCCAATTGGATGAGGTTTTATTAATCAGTGACTACCCCACATTCTTCTTGGAAGTAAAAGGGAAAGAATGGCATCACCACCAACAACAGCAAAATGAGACTAGTGGCAGCTACCATTTATTTAATGCTTGCGAGGTGCTTTGCAAGTATTGACTCTTACACCTTACAAGCACACTATGGGTTATTATTGTGTTTTCCAGATGGCGGCACTGGAGCTCAGAAAGGTTAAGTCACTTGCCCAAGGCCACACAACTTGAAAGTGAAGGGGTTGTGAGTTGAGCCCCACAGCCCCTTAACTGTGAGGCTTCCACTATGCTGCAGTAGTCTCAGTAACAACGCTCCAAAATGCCTTTGGCCGTACAGGAGAGACTTTGATTAGTGAACCTCCTGATTTATAAAGGCTGTTAGACACCAGCAGAGGTCATCGGGATAATTCTAATGTCTTTTCCCCAAACAGCAGACAGCCTTTGCTGGGGGTTGGTTTAGGAGCAGCTACAGTTTGTTCTGGAAGCAGGAGGGTGGCCTAGTGACCTTCTCAGCCCCAGCCATGCCAGGCTTGTGATTCTAGGATTCTGTTTCCCTACTTGGGGATGCAAATCCAGGCTCCTGGGTCACCACGGGGGTGCTTAGATTTCTTGTGGGAGTGCCCCTTTTGAAAAGAGAGCTATTGTTTTCTGTATTTCTTTTAAAAGTTTGGAGAGATGCTGAGATAAGCAAAACAAGCCTCTTAGGACAATAAACTTGACGGGGTGTCCCCATGTTTTCTGAAAAAAAGATGTTAAAAAATACTTGCAAAACTCAACAAAAATGCTTGCTCACTCCTAAAGTTAGTAGTGCTTCAATAGAATTCTTTTTTTCTTTTCCAACAGAGTTTGTAAGAAGATAAAGACATAGGGTCTCTGAGATACTGCTTGCTCTGCTGTAAGGACATCCTTTCTTTGGAGATAGGCCTAGCGGCTGACAGGTGACCCAGCTGCTTGCACTAGACCTAAGTACTTCGAGAAGCATGTTCACAGGAGTAACCACTGGCTCCATTACTGTTTCCTCACATTAAGCAACCTGAATGTCCCCTCACTATGGTGGAGAGGTCTGGGTAGAGTCTTGGGGAGTGTTGTAGCTCAAGGGAACCTCCAAGATGTTCTAGTGCATCCCTCATTTGGCAAATGAAGATACTGAGGCACCAGGATGTGGCTTCTTAAGGTTCCCTGTCAGGTTAGCAGCAGCGCCGAGCCCAGGACTTAAGTGACTGAGGAACTCTTTTAAGTTTCCTGAGCTTCTGGAAGACAGTCTGTCCCTCTTGTACTTGATTTGGATAGTACCTTGCAAGGTGACATTTGCTAAAAGGTACAGCTGATGTCTTCGTTGGCAAGGGGAGATGTGGGGATGAAAGGATGGGCTGTGTGGGAAGCACTTGCGTGCGCACACACACACAAGTGACTGATAAACAGCAGCTCCTCATAGCTGCCAAATTGAGGAAAGGGTGACCTAACCCTCAAGCACTGCCCAGGGAACTGTTTCATGGAGGCGGCTGAAGAATTGATGTCATCTGGGGCATTAAGCCCTTTCTATAAATACACACGCACCCACTCATTCATAAAGATGCCTCTGGGCTTTTAGTAAGGCACATACCTCACTGTTGGTGCTTTCCACAAACGACCCCCCGAACATGGCAGCCATCCACTCGCAGCTACAGATCAGCAGTGGCTTGTGGGCACTGATGGCTCCATCATCCAATTTAAATGTCACATCTGCCAAAGGACAGAGAAAACAACCGTGAGCCTGCTTCCCTGAGAGCTGTCGCCAAGGCTCCGCTCCACCCGCGCCTGTCCCTCTGCATCTCTCTCGCCCTCTCTTCCATATCTTTACTTACTGATTTCATGTCAGCCCCACCTCTGGCACACCCAATTCCTGCATTAAGCAGCAAGCCTTTAAAGTTCCACGTGTGGTCACAACACCAATTCTCTGAACAAGAAAGTAATACAAAAGAGAGGAACATTTTTCCTCCTCCTTATTATGAAAAATTTCAAACATATAGAATGGTGGAAAGAATAGTACAACGATCACTCACTTATCCATTGTTAACATTTTGCCATGTTTGCTTTAACTGTATGTGTATTTTTATATATTTTTATTTGTGTGCAGACTTTTTTTTAACAGATAGCAGATACTTCACTCCTAACTACTTTATCACACATATTCTAAAAATAAGAACATTCTCCTCAATGGCCATACCACAATCACACCTAAGAAAATTAAAAATAATTCCCTAATATCATCCACTATCTAGTTCATATTTAAATTTCTCTAATTATCCCTAAATTGTGTTTCATAGCCTTAAAAAAAAACCAAACAAAACCCCCCCCCAGAATCCAATCAAGGCTCCCACCCTGTATTTGGTTATGTCTCTGCAGTAAGGTGAGGGTGATTTGATCAATTTCACCTAAGGTCCATTGTTTTAATTTACTGTAGGTTTGTAACAGATTCTTTTCATTAACTTTCAAGACTGCTACTGCACCACGATGGCCAGTGATTGGAGTAAATATTTATTACTCATAAACTTTAAAATTAATAAACAGACTCAGTAACCGCTTATTGTATAGCACGCACCACAGCAGAGATTATGAAAGATAAAGACAGAAATAGAGGTACCCATATAAGTAGAAGTCAGAAAGTTAACTTTTCACAACAAAAGCCACACCCAAACACACCCAGCAATTTCAGAACAAACACAGTACAGGCACATGGGACAATGTGAGCCTGTGACCCACGTAGGACACGTGGGTCAGCACCATAGACACAGGCCACCAGTGTGCTCAAGCACTTACGGGAGGGCGCTGAGGGCAGCATGGGGCATAATTCTCAAAGACGAAGGAGGGGCAAGAACACTACGGAGGAGCAGGGCCAAAGAGTGTGGGGACAGAAACAGAGAGCAGATGAAAACAGATGAGACGGGCCTTCGGGAATGCAGAGGGCCACCAAGATTGCCTCAAGGACTTCCGTGGCCTCATGATCTGAGGTCACTGATTTTTGTAAAGGGTAAGTGCTGAAGGGTCAGTGGAGAATAGAAGTGGCAGAGAATGGGTCCTCAGGGGAAATCATAAGCATCGAGTTGGCTGGAGACAGGCTTAGGGGTACCTGATCTACCCTGAGGGGCCGCGTGGTGCCATGTTGGTTCAAGTCCTGGCTCTACCATTATTATCTGTGTGATCAGGGGCAAGTTACCTAACCTCACTGTCCCTCGGCTTCCCCATCTACAAAACTGAGAGAATAGTAAGTCTGAATGAGAAATATGTTAATACCTGTAGCATAGAAAAGTACATGGAAAAAAATAAGCACTTACAAATGTTAGCAACGGTTATCCTTTCCCTGCTTGTGTTCGGCTAACGTTTGGTAAAACACAACCAGAGGTACTGATGGCTCTGCCACAACCCCACTCACCTGAGAACGTCCCCTTGCTGAGACACTCTTTTATCCGATTGGCCTTCCTGACGTGAAAGGCTTTCGTAATCTCCTGGTTCATGAAGGCTTCCTTGTTCATGATGTTTTCTACCATCATCCTCAAATCAAACATCTCCAGGACCTCTGCGATCTGAGCCAGGCCCACCAGATCCTTTTCCTTCTCATCCAGTTGCCCCGTATAAAGAAACTGGAGCAGGGTCCGGAAAGGGCCTGGCTGGACCGACGAGTCCATCCTGACCACAGTCATGGGGCCCACGCGTTTTGAGATGGGATTGACTTGCATTTCCTTGTGCATGCCAACAAACCCCTTGCTCCAGCCTGACAAAGTCTGCGTCTCGGGAATCGAGCCCTCGGCTTCCATGCCCACAGTCCCCAACAGGTTCTTGCTTGAGGACTTCCACTGATCGGCCTGCGGTGTCCTTGGAGGGCCTTCTTCCCTTTCCTCCTCTGGGTCAAGACTCAGTGTCCGCCCCTGGAAATCCCTGCTCTGCTTCTCTTTCTCACAAGCTCCTTCCCCCCAGTTTGGGGATTCTTCACATTCCATTAAAAAAAGATCATAAAATTTGGAAGAAGAGGTAGCGAGGTAAATTCGATGTGCAAAGATGCGCTCCTGGTCCTGAAGGACAAACAGGACGTCGGCACACAGAGGATTGTTCAGTAAACAGGCAGCTTCATTTGTCCCCGTGTTAGGGCACTCTGGAATTTTGATGACCGGCGGAGGGGCTTTTGGAGGTAGGAAGGGTGCCTGAAGCAAAGGTTTCTGGACCTTCTTTAAGTGGGATTTCCAGAACTGCAGGTGCCGGCGGGAAATCAGCGCTGCTCGGATCGCGTTGTCAAACACGTCCTTGATTCCAAACTGGTCAAATACACTTGTTTCATAGTATGGTATGCCAAGCTCCTTTGCAACCTCTCGGCCTTTTTCTGGGGGCAAAATATCCCCCCTCTTTATGGGTCTGAAATAGAATATTTTAAAAATTATAATCAGCCTTATTTTAGGAAAAAAAAAATAGTAACCAGGGCCCATGTAAGCATCCAGTTGAATTAAACATTTAAAATCTCATTAGGGTTTTTACTAAAGCTCTTGAAAAATCTACACCACTTTTGAGTTTTTCAAATAGAAAGGAGTTATGACTGCAGAAAAAAAGGCTTTCAGTAGTAACCACAGTACGAGAAGTATCAGCCTTTTACTAGATATTTGATCTTGGTCAAGTTACTCAACCTCTTTAAACCTTGGTTTTCCCATCTGTATAATAATAATAAGTAATAATAATAATAAGTACCTATATCTTAAAGGACCATCGAAAAGTTTAAATGAGATAAGCTTAGCATGGTGCTTGGTCCCCAGTAAATGCCTGATAAATTTAGCTATTATCATCATTACTACCATCATCTTCATCACTACCACCTTATGCTTAAATTTTGCTTTATAACTTTAAAATGCATCCATAGGCATATTCATTCGAGCCTCACAATAATCCTATGAGGTGTTATTTTCATTCTATATTCTGAGAAAACAGGCAGACAGTTTATAGGGTTTACTTAAGGTCACATTTGCAAGTTGCTGAGAGACCTCTGCTAAACAGTTAAGAGTTTAGACTGTCCCACTGCTAGTTAAATAATCAACATCCAGCGGCTCACTAAGTTTCCTTTACTGGATTTGTGAGTCCTCTTTCATGTCTTTCTCTCTTTTCCACCATTCCCTTCATCACACCCTCATCATCTTTTGCTCTTAACTGGTCTTTCTTTACACTCTCCACATTTTAGCCACGGTCTTCATTGCTGCAAGAAAAGTGCTTACATAATACAAGCATGACTTGGTGGCAATTCTGTCTTAATTTCCTCTGATTCCACAAGGCCCATAGAATAAAGTCCACACCTTTTAGGCTGGCACACGAGGCCCCTTTATGATCTAATCAAACCCAGGGAGGACAAGACTTTAGAAGCAGTATAAGCAGTATAGTGCTGTGGTTATGGCATAACCACGTGAACGGAACAGATGGGTTCCAGAACATGGGCAAGATGTGACTTATTGTTACATTCTTCACAAACACACTTGATTCTAAAACGTACTCTTAGGAATTGATCCTCTTAAAAAATAAATATTTGGCCTTCAACACCAAAGGTAATGTGTATGACAGGCACTGGTCTTAGGAGAAAAAAGGTGACACTGGGCAGAATTTGGATTTGAAGACCTGGATGGAGAAACTGTAGGGTGTTGGCAAAGGTGAAAGGGAAGTGTGGGGAAGAAGTTTTAACTTCAAATTTTGCTCCGGCAGGCACTGTGTTCCTTGTTCCTAGGACTGACTGGGTATTTACTAACTGAAACTCTTCAAGGCTTAGGTCAGATACCACCTCCTGCATGAAATCTTCTCAGAACTGCTCTAAAGAAGGGACTGTCCCCACCACTGTCCACTGTAGCTCTGTGACCCACCTCCAGTTCTCCGTGCATCCATGGTTGTGAGTCCTGATTATCCTAACCTATTCCTTTACATGAAAAGTTCCTGAGGCCAGGGGCAGTCTCTCATTCACTGCAAGTCTCCATTCCTTCTATGTGGCTCCTAATAGTCAGTTCCTAGTCCATGCATTTAAGAATTGAAGGTTTGTGAGTTTAAAAAGTTTGTGTCCATATAAAATCTTATCAGTAAGCCTATCAGGCAAACATCAAAGGAAGGTATTAATACCAAAAATTTTTTAAAAGCTATGCTCTCCAGCAAAAAATGTAAACATGGAAAACATACACAATTGTTTTTTATCACGGGAATTTGAGGGAGCACAGTGTTTTAGAAATTCTTATTTCCCCCCAAAATTGATAACCACATTTTACATAATCACTAGAGACATTTAAAAAGCAGTGCTTTTTTTTCAATTATGGTCCAAATTATTTTTAAAAACTGGACATTCATCTTAGGAATAAAATACTCTCACAGGTTGGACTGAGGAATAGGAGGAGGATGAGAGACACACTTGCATATCTGTATTTGTATGAACCTAATGTTCCCCGGGGCCAAGAACTGTGGCTGATTACTCTGAGTGTCAATTAACTTAATTATAATAGTCATAATATCAAGAATGACATTATGATGGGTTGCTAACATTTTGTCTGATACTTTACAAATTTCAAAGCTCTTTTATACACACCATTTTGTAATTACAGAATTTACTTCAAATACTGGACAAGTGTTTTACAAAAGTGGGTTCCAACCTAAGAGAAGATAGTGTGTGCGAAGGGGTCAGGGCACATCCCCTCATGATTAAGGGGCTAACCAGAGCCTCTGAAGAACAGAACACTGAACTACAGAGACACCTGCTACCTCTAAATTTTATTTTGGCCAGCGCAGTCAACACTGAGTCCCTTGGTTTACCTTGCTAATGGGCGTCTGGCTCGATTAACAGCATCCAGATCGGCATAGCGGAGATCTAGCTGGCAGCCAACAACTACAGAGACACCTGCTACCTCTAAATTTTATTTTGGCCAGCGCAGTCAACACTGAGTCCCTTGGTTTACCTTGCTAACGGGCGTCTGGCTCGATTAACAGCATCCAGATCGGCATAGCGGAGATCTAGCTGGCAGCCAACAAGGATGACAGGCGTGCGAGGACAAAAGTGCTTGATTTCTTGATACCACATGGTTTTCACGTGATTGAGGGAGCTGGGATTAGCGATCGAAAAACAGAGGACCACAACATCAGACCTAAAAGGAAATCACAAAAGAAGCTTGTATTGAATTTTAACTTTCTGTTTTCCTTTTACCATTATGGTTCCTCCACTCCCCAACCCATCTAATGCCATATCATGTCACAATTAAAAAAAAAAAGATTAGATATTAAAATACATCTTGGAGTCATGCAAACAGCCTAAGCCCCCACATTCCGGCACCAACACTGCAGAATGCTTACGCATCGAAATGTTTCCAATGAAGTTATTTTACTGTAGGGATGGTTACCCAAACTTAACAGTCCTGGAACCACAACATGCTGAACTATTTCTGTTCATCACAAGAAATAGTTTCAAGATGAAAGAAAATAATAAAACTCCCTTTTGCCAGTTTAAACATAAAGGTGGTGATGACTCAACCCAATGAGATAAAGCAAATAGTTTAAACATTACTGAAAATGTCCCAAGTATTTGCTGTACAGAATCAGCAAATATACAGAGGGATTTCTGCCCTTCTTCCCACTTAAGCACACATGTAGAAAGCACAACCACTTATCTGTTTCCAAAATGAAAAATCCTGAATTTGCAGGAATTTTGACTCTTTACTAGGTATAAGGCAAGAAAATATTTATCATACAACTAGGCAAGAATTAGATGGATGGCTAATAAGATAAGAAAATACTGGAAGCAGATTTCTCAAGTGTTATATACAACATAGCAGGTACAGGGAGAAAAGAAAAATTGCTTTATAGTTATTTTTGACATAGAATCTTCTATTTTTACATAATAACTTACCATTACAGAAGCCAAAGAACTGTCTTGCAAAACAGTTGTTCAGTTATGGTATCTGATGGATAGCTGCTAAAGGTATCTTTAATAGGAATTATAAACCATTGTTCAAGGTTAAAATAGGCTGAATGATGAAGAATATATCCTCATTAAGGCAGAAGAATATAAAGCATAGGAAAAGTTATGCCCAAGGATTCAAGAAGATCTTGCGGCTAAATTCGGAAATAAACTCTTACAATTTTATTAGATGTTAATTTATTGCCTTTATTGTTTATGTAATGAGAAGAATCAAGTCAATGAATCAAAATATCTTCTTTTTAAATCATTAATGAGCTCTTCCTCCTACATATCAATGAAGACAAGCAAATATATATGCAGGCAGCCATAAAATTTCTAAAAATAATCATTTGCAATGCAGAAAACTGCAGGGTGCTTACATGAAAAGTAATTCAGAGGTTGAGTCTTTAAATTTATATCCAAGAAAAACTGCACCAGACCACAGTAAACAGAGGGAAAATCTTGAGATTAAAATATTTCCAAATTATAAAAGAGGATCTAGGACTCGAAGTAGATGAATGTATTAATCTGCATGTTTAGAATCTCCTCAAAAATAAAGATATCAAAGATTCTTGGGTCCTGGAATAATATGTATAAAAATATACATAAATATAAAAATGAAAGGGAAGCATGTTTTGTCTTTGGGACTCTGATTTAGTTAGTGGAATATTCTGAGCTCAGTATTACTTCTAATTAGCATAAATAACAGTATCCAGTAAAACCAAGAATGCTTTGAATTTTACCTTTTTTTACTTGGCTAAGTTTTTTTATTATTCATAATCCTATTTATATCGGGTATCTGATGAAGCTCTGCTATAATATTCATCCTGATCATAAAATAAAGCCACCATGAATTCTTGCTCAGTGAGAACGGTATGACAATATCTGCAGTTCAGTATCACAGAGAAAGAATTGAGGAAATATATGCAGTGCCAAAATGTGGAATAGTATGTGCATGTATAAAATTGTTCTAATTGGTGCCTACTACTTCCTTATTAAGGCACATGACTGTAAAGGAAATCATTCTCAGAGCTTAATTTATATGACAGACATGTAACTAAATGTCAACTCTGTTATCCAATTTTATGATACAGCAATGTGAGGTTTTAAAATCAGAGCTAGCTTGGTTGCCAAGGTTACCGTGATAATGCTCATGCCATTGAACACATACTAGTTACTATCTAGATGACCTGTAAACAAGTACAGACAGGACCTTGGGGGTTGGAAAAATGGAATCTTGTGATGATAGCAGCACAATGCCATCATGCAGTACAGGTCCGGAGGGCCTGGCTTCTAACTGTGTCGCATCAATATCTAAATGCATGAAATGCTGACAGAAAGCTGGAAAAATAATTCAATGTGCTGTAAATATTTCACCTCGAAATGATGACAGTTAAAGAAAAGAGATTGTACTGAGAGCAGAACTACCTCTGAAGCTAAAATAACTTACTGAGTCAAAATTCTATTTGTATCTTGGAATAAAATTTTTCTTTTTCCTTTTTTATTCATTTAGGTGGTATGAGAATCTGTCTCCATTATTGTACATTGGAAGCAGTAAAAAATAAGATCATATTTTAACTTGCTTAAATGTCTTTTATTTAACCTTTGTTGATCTAAGTACAAATGCAAGAGAACGCTAAATACAGATTATACAGAATTCTATTCTTGAGGCCTGCCACATGAATGTGGTAGTACCATAAGCCCGATTTTAACCAAAAGGCTCTGACAATCAATGGAGCAATAGAAAGATCCTGCTGTGATACATTCTTCCCTACCAACATTTTTTTCTGATCCTTAATTCTCAACACATCAGTATTTTCTGTGATATAAACACCTATACAATCAAGGAACTATTTTGAGAATGCCATTTATTCCCTCTAGATTCTGAGCCATTTTTCTATCTAGTCAAAGAAGGTACAAGACCTGCAGCTAAGAATATCTCCAGCTTTAGGCAGAATTCCAAGGAACTAGAGATATTAAATAACTTTTAATCAAAACATTCATTCCTGTGTGGAGACTGTTCAATGTCTGACATAAGCTTGCGTTTAAAAATGCCATTCCTATAAAAGATAAATAAAATAAAATGCAGGTTCTAGCATTTCTACTTCTATGGCTCTGTTACAGTTTTATACTTTGAAAACTGAGCTTAAAAATAATTGGGAGATGAGAGTATGACGAGGACATCCTCACATATTAGGCAGTAGGGTTATTTCAGCTGTAAAAAGAATCTGATAGGATTTGAGTCCTACAGCTATTTGGATAGAAAGCACAATAATTTGAAAATGCAGAGTCAAAACACAGGGTAGGCAAGTCTATAAACTCTAGAACCTGAATATTGAGAAGGGGTAGGAAGAAGTTTAAAATGATTATTTTATATATTTTTATTAAAACTTTTTTTACTAGGCTAAATGGCCTTATTGAAGGGAGCCAGAATTACAAAGGACTCAAGGGTACATGGTCTTAGTTGCTTGCCCACAGAATGTTTACTTTACAGGGAAAAATATGATTTCTTCTTCCCAAGGAGAAATATCAATACTTGCATAAAAGTTTCACTTGGTATTAACACATCAAAATAATGCCCATGAAGAAATGTTTTGATTAGTTAAGTAAAAAACCATCCAAAACAAACCAATGTGTTGAAACAATTGGGGGTCTCCAGTTTCACAGGGGAGTGGGAGGGAATCAGAGAGAAACCAAGTCATCCCAAAATACTTGAGTTGATAAAGCCAACCCCAGTAGTATCAATTTTTCTTCAGATATTAAACAAACAAAAAAGCATATTTTTAAGTTATCTTTCAAGGAGAACACTGGCCAGACATAGCATGTGAAAGACTGGCAAAGATATCTGGATAACAGAAGGCGTACATGCAAAGTTGGGATCAATCTTTGTTGGAGGATTAAAGAGAAAAAAACCTGAAAAAAGTGCATCTTACCCACATATCTTGGCCCAAGCTAGGCTTTGAATAGCAAATACCACACATGTTCTCCAAGCCTGCCTTTATAATGTCTACAGTAGTCAAATATAGCAAACTCAGTGGGAAAAGATCAGAGAAACAACCAGAAGCTAAGCTATTTCTCCAATCTGAAATTCTTCCTTTGAAGAAGTGGTTGAAAAACGGTATACAATCAGTATCAAACTTTTATCATTAGGAATCAATTTTCTAAGTTCTTTCTTATCACAACAGTGCTCTTTCTTCTAAGTTTGTCTTGCTTTTTCTACTCCCATCTACTTTGCCACTTCTGTCCCAGCTGAGGAGTGGTGAGTGGAACAGCCAAATGCCCTTCTCTGATGTGCCCAATTGTGGTTGGGTCTCTTGTCGGACTAACGCTTGGTGACCAAGAATAAGCTAACCATTATATTTGCCTGAGTTCTGCTTGGAAGTGTTCTATGGCGGGATCCCACCTCTTTATATGTCACCAGTGCCCATTTGTTTTCTTTAGATGAGACTCCCATAATGTGCCCAATTGTGGTTGGGTCTCTTATTGGACTAACGCTTGGTGACCAAGAATAAGCTAACCATTATATTTGCCTGAGTTCTGCTTGGAAGTGTTCTATGGTGGGATCCCACCTCTTTATATGTCACCAGTGCCCATTTGTTTTCTTTAGATGAGACTCCCATATCCTTTATATTGGTAGAGATTATTGGCACATTTTAATGGGCTTCTTTTCTTTGTCAATGTGCACAAGTCCCCCTCTGGCAAAGATTCAAGTAGGAGTCTCTGCCCTCCATCTTGGGGCTTCAAGCTTCCTTCTCCCTACTGATAACTGAGGTAGGCTCTATCCAGAAACATTTTCAAAACCGTTCATGTCGACAACACACCTTTCATGCATATAGTCTGACAGTGCTATGCAAACAGACAGCTCAAAACAGCACAACACAGCTGGGAGCATGGCAGAGAAAAGGAATGTGTAACATGTGGCTTTGGAAAGTTTTAGTAGGGGAGCAGCCCAGTGTGTATGAGATGCAGAGGGAGCTGTCAGGCTGTCAGTGACGGTGCACATAACCACCTGGAGATGAATGGCTATGTAAGCTCATACTCATGGAAGATGGAGAGGCCTGTAGGGGAGCACCTGGCGGGGGATCTGGGGAGAGCAGGGCACAACCATGCAGCGCCCTGGATGTGAGCAGAAAAATCAAGTCAATACCTTACCAATAGCAGTGAGGCTTCTTAAGTACAGACGTTATGTGG